TCCTTGGATCCATCTGTAAATAAGGATTTGTATGTATTATATTTATTTCTTAACTAACTAAATTCTTGTTTATACTGTAATTCATTAGTTTCGGATTTTGTAAATGTGGTCAATGTTAGGTCAACTTGAGGCCTAACCAACTGTCAAGGAGAAGAAAGAAGACTGGAAGGAGATATATTGTGCAGCTCAATGCCGGCAGCAGAAATGAATGGTTTAATTCTGAGCCCAAGAGACGGAACAAGAGAAGGTTTCTTGGTGTATAAATCCTCATAGAGGGGATTGAAGACACAGTTATATGCAGGGTTAGATTTGTTAGAGTGTAGTTTTGTAATATGCTGTAAAGATAGTTTGGTACGGCGTTGTGCAAGAAATGGCTCATCTGCCTCGACATAGAGACTGTCAATAAGAGAAGTTCGAAAAGACCCAAGACAAAGGCTTAGGCCTTGGTGGTCGGCAGAATCAAGTAGTTTTAGGTTGCTTTTGCAGGCTCCACCATACACAATGGAGCCATAATCAAGCTTCGAACGGACCGCCTTCAGATTTGTGCAAATGAAATATTCTGCACAGGCCTTGGCGTGACCAGCCGATTGATAGAACCGGGCCCATTCTACCAACCGTCTAGGTGAAGTCAGGGGCGGAGTGGTGTGTTGGGCAAAGGAACGCTCTTCCTGGAACCAGTGCCCTCAACCACCAGAGTCCCTTCCTCCACCGACACAGCGGCGCAACCCGCGGCAAACAAGTGGCCCAATTCGGTCTTACGACCAGCAATGGGGTGCTATGGACCAAATATGCCCCCGGGTCCACAACGGGGGGTTGAAGAGCGCTTAGCGTTACCCAGCACCCACCACGAGGAGGTGGCTCTTCACGGGTGCCATAGATAAAATAAGTGAGGGATATTGAGAGGTTCTATTTCAGGACATGAAAATCCTTCTTATAGTTTCTCATATTACAGATCAAATATAAATAACAAACACTAACATTCAAACTTTATTATATTTTTAAAAATAATGGAAAATGGCAAATATCCAAATGAGGTTGAGTGAGGTGAGTACAATTTATTTGATTACTCAAAGGAAAATAAGGATACCCAATTGAGATGAACACAAGCGAGAACATAACTCAATGACCCAAAAAGTTATCTGTAGCTCTGAATGTAGATTCATACATATATATTCGGATGATGGTTTGTTTAAGATACGCTTATCTTCTGTAAGAGAGTGAGATATTTTACAATTGTCCATGTGATCAGAGAGGAAATAAAGAATGCTTCTTTGGCATCCGAAAACCTATTACAAAAGGTACCTAACACTTGGTGAAGGTAGTCCTCTTCCATGGGCCTGGCATATTGGTTTCATGTACACTGGAAATGAATACTATTCGGATGAGTGTGGTACTGTGAAAATGGCCACTTTGCGGCGTGGGTAGCCTTATGGGTAACGCGTTATTTAGTCAAGTGGAAGACCCGGGATCGATTCCTGCATTGGTACAATGTATGAGGCATTCGTTATACAGCCAGGCAATTTCTGTTTATGCATGGAGGTTAAAATATATGCAGGCATTCATATAAGTTAGGTTGGTCAGGTAGTGGTTAAAACACATCTGGAATATGATGAAACGACGCCGACGACAGGATCAATAACGGAGAGATCACTTAGTGGTTAAAACATATCTGGAATATGATGAAACGACACCGACGACAGGATCAAATAACGGTCAGATCAGTTAGTGGTTAAAATATATCTAGAATATGATGAAACGACACCGACGACAGGATCAAATAACGGTCAGATCACTTAGTGGTTAAAATATATCTGGAACATGATGAAACGACGCCGACGACAGGATCAATAACGGTCAGATCACTTAGTGGTTAAAATATATCTAGAATATGATGAAACGACGCCCACGACAGGATCAATAACGGTCAGATCACTTAGTGATTAAAACCCCCAACTCACTCACTCATATCTGTGTTCAGTGTCAGAAGGAGCATGTAGTAGAAATACATAAAAATCATTTACCTCAAGATATTTTACATGGTTTTGAATCTATCAAAATTTGTCCAAACATACATGTGAAGTCACACCACCCGTACTGCAGCATATTCGTAGCGCAACGGATGCTGAAAAGATGAAAGAGATTTACGTCCCTTGTTCGAATACTCTTTTGAAAAAATATAGCTGGTGTTTCTCAAGTGTATGAAGGCGAGCGATAAAATGCACATTAAAAAACACATTCAAGCCCGCGGGCAATGCGACACGAAGAGGATCCACTGTACACGAGAACAATTGGACAACGCTTGAGTGTAAGTTTGTGTCCGCTCCAGTAAGCGCTAAATGTTGTTCAACTGAAATCTCAATGTAGGATGCTTTTTAGAAAAGAAATATAATTTGCTCTGCCGCCATGTGTTGGGTGATACAGTGTTGCTTCGCCCTTAACTATCACCTTAAAAGGACACCGTCGTGCTCTGTGCTATGACACTTCAGGGCAAAACGATATTTAATTATTAGAAAACCCGTAAAGATCCGGGTTAGAACTGGTCTTCAGTAACCCATGCTTGTCCTAAGAGGCGACTAACGGGATCGAGTGGTCAGGCTCGCCGACTTGTTGATTCATGTCATCGTATCTGAATTGGGTAGATCAATGCTTATGCTGTTGATCACTGGATTGTCTGGTCGAGACTCGATTATTTCAGCCCGCCGCCCTATAGCTGGAATAATGCTAATTGCGGCGTACAACTAAGAATCAGCAAAAATTCTCATCTTCAGCAGTGAAGACCGAAGGACCGGGTTCTATAGTATGACCAGAAATTATTGAGAATTTTAGGAATATCTTTAATTTGATTTCTAGTATAAACAAGCTTTGACCATCTGTCAAGTGTTTGGTTTCATTCAAGAGAGACAACTCCGTTAATCCTTTTTCATTAGTTTGTGAAGAGTTATCCCCCTTTGTTTTCTTGCTAGCAGACGACATTTTCAGTGATCCTCAGCATGGATGATTTAGGGAAGAGGAAGTTGATTTTAGAGTATTATAACAAGGCCATCAGATCAGCTAAAGTGATTTCAAGTAGAACAGGCATTCCTTTGTCCACTGTTTATCGTGTTTTGAAAAATATTGCAAATGGCTATGGCATTGAGCACCAGGGAGGCACAGGTAGGCCCATAAAGTTGACTGTCGGTGACAGGAGGCGGCTTGCTAGTATTGTTTCTAAAAATAAACGAAAGAGTTTAGAAAACTTAAGGCTGGATGTGATTGATAGAGGAACTGTGGCTGTCTGTAAGAGCTGCATGCAATGGGTTGGCAGAAAAGTCGGGGAATTCCATCACCGATCATGAAACCTGAACAAAAGGAGCGAAGGTTGAACTGGTGCTTACAGCATAGAAATTTTAACTGGGACAATGTGATTTTCTAAGATGAAAGTTCTGTGTGGCTGTTTCCTAATACACTGAAATTCTGGATCAAACAAACTGAAAAACCTTTGTATCAGCGCCCAAAGTACAGTCCGAAAGTTAACGTGTGGGGTGGCATATCTGTGTTAGGGGCAACGCCTTTCTGTGTATTTGAAGGGAATGTGAACAGTAAGCGGTACACAGATATTCTCGAAGGACATTCACTTCCATCTGCTCACGTGTTCTATGGAAAGTTTTGGATTTTCCAGCAGGACAACGACCCAAAACATCGTTCAAAGCATTCACAGGCCTGGTTTCGGACCCAACATATGACATTATTAGATTGGCCAAGCTATAGCCCTGACCTAAATCCATATGGAAAATGTTTGGGGACTTTTGAAGGAAAGTGTCAATAAGAAAAATCTGACAAATATTGCTGAAATGAAAAAAGAGGTGGTCCGATATTGGGACAGCATGGACCACGACTTTCTAACTTCTTTGATCAGTAGTATGCCCCGCCGCATTGAAGCCTGCATTGCTGCACATGGTGACTTGACAAAATACTCACTGTTCACCTGTCTTTGAATCTGGAGTTATGTTCTGCTAATATTCACATTAATACGTGAGTAAGAGTGAAAATTTAAAAAAAATTACAGTCTTTAAATTCTCAATAATTTCTGGTTGTACTGTACTCCCCACATGGGTGATCAATGAGCACCACATTTGCTGTTCTCCGTCGTTGTGTTGAATAGAGTACTTATAAAAGCGGGTTAAATTCATCATTTACATGGTGGAAACACTTGCACCCGGTTAGGACTGAACATGACCTCATTCTTGATATCTTGATATCTGCACTTGCTGGGGATGGGTGTTACAATTACATTGCGCTTGTTGCACTTCAGAACGGGCGGGAACATAAACGATGTACCTCACAGTAACTCGTTGTTGAATATTTTGCAGAGTCACTGTTTGTACAGATGGTATTTAAGAGGTTTCTGCATAACATCGTTCATTTCTCTTTCACAGACTTAAGCTTAGCCTAAAAAATGAATGATTTTAATAGAAACAGCAACCTTATTGAACATGAGCAGTGAGATGGGAGTTGCAAATTCTTTAGTAAGGCTATAGAATAGATGTAAAGGGTGAGCAACTGAAATGATATGCTTCAGGAACTATGTAACAGACCTTCCAGACGGTCCAGTGCTTGACGTCATGAGCAGCTGAGTATGGTTTTACGCCGCTTTTGACAATTTTCCAGCAATATCACCGCGGGGGACACCAGAAATGGACTTTACACATTGTACTCGTGTAGGGAATCAAACGAAAGACAATGCATAATGAAACGCACACCACTAAATAACTGAACTTGTGAAACAAGCTATAACATGCGATTTGAAATTGAGCATGCATAGCAATCCAGTTAAAATCATGAGTATAAGTAATTATTCAATTGTCATGTATGGTTATATTTCAAAGAGTGGTGTGTCTCCGATTCGTATGACAGAAGTACCGCTGTGAAATTGTGCGTAAAATATCCACAATGTTTTGATGTGGCCATGCAATGTAATTTTCATGTTGCTCTCATCCTGGCCATGGCTGTCCTCTTTATAGGTCTGACTGAACACCAAGAACGTCATCATGGGCAATGAAAGCAAAGGACAGCCAACAGACAGTCATCCATGGCTCCTCTACATCTCAACAATATTTGCATCTACTCTGGCACTTTTGATGGGCTATACATTCGGAATCATCTCGGGGGCAATGCTGCTTCTTGCTGATACGTTCCAGCTCGACACCTTGTGGCAGCAGCTGATAGCCACATTCGGCACTGTAGGAGCTGCCTTAGCACTTCTGCCTGCTGGTTACCTTGTCCAGATTTTGGGAAGGAAGAAGATGATCCTTGGATCAAATATATTGACGTGTGTTGGCGCCATTATAACAGCTGCAGCACCAACGAAAGAGGTGGTTATTGTTGGCCGTTTGTTTGCAGGAATGGGAGCAGGTAATTTTCATGCATTCAAGCATCTTCAACATATGCATGCATAGAGCTTCATTCGCAGATCTGTTCACACGGAAAACGTACGTCTCCTAAGAGTGCTGAATATACGATTAAAATGAGATTAACATAAATAAATGACTCCTTCTGGACCCACATAACGTTCACTGTTTCACATGTCTGACAAATCACCTTGTAGGCGTTCTTTTGTTTCGAAATATTAAATAAGGCAAACAGTTTTATTCAATGATAAAAGATTGCATAACTGGACTACACTGGGACATTGTACTCATAACGTGAATCGGATCCAGGTCTTCGACCACCCACATGACGAGCAAAAGGCTTAAAAGGTGTTCCACTGGTCTACTTACCACCCAAGTTGCAAAGTAATGAAACCTTTATGCAGTCAGCATCAGTCTTGAGAACACCTGTTCCACTGGACTGTCATGTAACTGTATGACTTGCATGTTAATGATGGTCATGTATTTGTACAATTCGCCGTTATATATGTTTTCGAGTTTGATAACTTGGTCCAGATGGTTTACATTTTTGTCAGCAATTGCAACTGAACGATTCCACAACGCCATTGAGGTTACAAACCTCATATTTTGGAAACATGGTAATTGTCTAATGTTCATATGATGTCGGAAATCTTTACCTACTCACAGTATGTTGCAGGAGCTATATCCCTCGTCGTGCCAATGTACATATCGGAATGTGCCCCCGTCGACATCAGAGGACGTTTGGGAACTCTTACACAGGTCTTGATTTCTTTTGGAGTGTTTCTGTCATCTGTTGCGGGAGGTGCTTTCAGTGGACTGGGGGAAGCAGGATGGCGGTGAGTGCACTACTTGGGGATACATTATTAGATATACCAAGAATTGGATTTGTTTGTTTATTGTTTAACTCCGCACCCAGCAATATTCCGGCCAATGGCAGTGGTTTGTAAGTAATTTAGTCAGGACCAGACACATTCGTCACCACTCGCCCCTTTCCGTAACCTCCAAGAAGCTATTCGGCTTGGGTCGGAATAACACGAGTTGGTCACGAATGGACCAGACAATCCAGCAATTAGCATCCTGAGCATCAATATACGCAGCTTGGATGCGATGACATTTGTCAAATAAGTCAGCGAGCCTGAACACCAGATTCTAAGGACAAGCATGAGTTCCTGTAGACCAGTTCTAACCCATGTCTTCACGGGTATCAAGGAATGACAGCTGCTCTGATCTTGTATCATTTCTCTATCAACTGGTTTGTAATTTTTCAGTACGTTTATTCTTGTTCCATCAGATTGATGTTCGGGTGTCCGTGTGCTATTGGTGTTGTCCACTTTGTGGGATTTCTCTTCCTCCCGGAGACTCCTCGGTGGTACATGGACAGAGGAAGAGAGGAAGAAGCTGTTTCTGTCTTGAAACGACTCAGAAATAACCCGGAAGAAATCGACATCGAACTCAACGACATGAAAAGAACTGTTGCGGAAGGGAAAAGGCTGAAACTCGAATCAGGTTGGTATTCTCGCAATGTCAGTTATCTCATGTTAAATTAAATTGACGTATTCAGGAACCATGTGCTATTACAAACGATTGTAAATTCAGCCACAAATCACTGTTAGTAAAATCAAGAAGCAAGTGACTACAATTTGTAGAGTCATTTTGTAAATATGCTGTTGAATTAGTAATATATATTGATGACTTATTTTCTGGGTTATTATTTTTTATTAGTTTTGCTGAAATAGGGCTTCGTGGAGATGAATACATAAAGTCATTTAAAAGTGGTCAAACAGAACACGTTATTTTTGGGATTATACTTTCTCAGTAAAATACAGATTCTAGTTCTTTTTTGTTGGGTTGAATCCCATCCGCCCTATTTACTGTTCAATAGAAGGATGATAGTTACAATCATTAATGCGATAAAATTGCAATACACTTCAACTATGGTATTGGGATAACTTGAAACATTAATAATAATAATATTGTTAATAATAGTATTTAATTATTTATATTTATGCATATGGTTCCAACAAAACGTGGAATGAATTGGGCAAAGATGCTTAAAATATCACTTGATGACGTTACGTTGGGCGACGTTTCTTGCGTGATGTCAGATGCGACAGGAAAACAATATCAACTTAAGTAAAATGATTTAAAAACGCCTCGAGTTCATACTTCCGAATGTAAGTTAAATCAAATCCTGCTTTTTACAGTTCCCAGAGTATTCCAAACATGGGCCATTTAGTTATATCTTAGTTCTTTACAAGCGTGTACGTTATTTACCTACATTCCGGTACTTCAACTTATTTTCAAACACTGTAAACAACACGAGACGTAAACAAATTTTATAGTGATACAGAAGAAGAAAATTTAGAATGAAGCATTTATGTGGCATGCTTTGGAACCTAGTCGATCCACTTTTGCTATGTTTGGGTTTTTTTGACATTTTTGGGTACAGAGCACGGTTCCTCTATCATTGTTCGGATACTGAAAACGCCTTCAGTTCGAAGAGCGCTGATGCTGTCGGTGATCTTGTCTATGATAACACAGGTGACAGGAGCGGCACCAGTTATGTAAGTGAATTGTAGTTCAATTTTGATTACATAATAAGCAGTAGTGAGTGAGTGAGTTAAAGTATATAGTGAAATCGAAATTTGAATCATTACATACGTGCTATTCATAAGTGATACGTGCATGTTGTGGTTGGGTGTCCAAGATTGTATATATTTACATAAACAGTAGTGACAGAGAGAGTGAGTTAAGTATAAAGTGTCATCGCAGTTATTTGAATCATTACACGAGACCATATTTGTGCATCATGAATACAAACTTTAGGTCATTTTGAAAGCAGCTTAGAAATACAAAAATCCACGTTACAATAGCTTTTGTATAAAGCTCGGGCTATAAAAGTAAGACGTGAGAAAAGGATTTGGGGTAAATGATATTTTGCAGGTACTACACAGGAACGATCCTGAAAAGAGGCGGTTTTGCGGTCACAGATGCACTGTGGATGACAACAATTCCTACAGCACTGCAGGCTGTAACGTCTTTCGTAAGCACGTGCTTGGTTGAGAGGATGGGCCGCAAGCTCCTGTTTCTTGGCACACAAATAGGTAGCTAATATCACGTCACGCTTGCCAACGTTATAACCATATATGGAGCTACGTCTTAGGTCGAGGACAGCTCAAACTTACAGTCATGACCACCGTCCACTATGTCTGCTTTGGTTTTACCTCTTTTCGTAGTGAACTTTATTCAAATCGCTTGTAATGTTAATAATATGATATGAACTCAGATTAAACCTGTGAAGTCAGGTATTATTAACGTCACACTATTCATACTTACTTAAATTCACATTCATTTAATAATATCCACCTACTTATTCAATACCCGTAACTTTTTTGTTCAGTATAAACTGAAAATCCATGGCATGAACTATGGCAATATCGAAGTAGGCCATATTGAAAATGACTCATATTGAAGAATAGAATAGCCAATTCCGCCATAATCAATCTATATAAAGAGAGATCCACAAAATAATGATATTTTAATTTTTATGCCTCCATTGTCAACAGGGCTGCTCATTTCCTTGATCATTCTTGGACTTGGCTTCTATCTGTCCACGACTTATTCTCCCCGTCGTCAGTGATGACATCCAGAATACCATCAATAACAATACAACTGTATCCATATGTAATTTCAGGTAATTTACCGTATGTTTTTCATTTAGATTTGAGATGAATGGAACAACACATCGAGACTTATGGACTACATTTATCTATCTATCCAACTATCTATCTATCTATCTACACACACACACACAGATAACCCAGGGTAACCCAGGGATATATATATATGTTCAAAGATATAACCAAGTGCCTCTGGCAGTCTCGCAGACTGTAGGTTTCTGTCGGATGTGATGTAGACAACGCCGTCGTTGACGGAATACATCCAATGTTATGGCATGCTGTACCTATAACGCAAAATTACAACATTACAGGCAATACAAAATATTTGGCTGTAGACATAAGATCCCTGATTAGGACGAAGTCGGGTTACATTTATTTTTATTCATGAAAAGACATCATTTTCGTCTTCCTGAGTGTCAGAGGTACCTTCAACCCCACAATCTAGGCTATCGACATCCGCATTAAAGTAGTCCTTAAGAGCAAAAGTGTCATAATTCTCTACTGCAGGTACTAATTATAGTTTATGGAGTTGATCAGGGAACGTAACTGAATGCACAATAAATGATACTTTGCGTGATGTTTAATAAGAGTATTAATATTCAAATAAAACAGAATAAATGTTTTATTTGAATCGTTTGAAAAGAAGGCAACATCATAAGCCCTGGTGGACTCCAATTCCGTATCCCGTATTATTTTAGAACATGTGAGCAATGCATCGATTCTTCCCAATGCGGCTTCTGCTACGACGTCCTCTCAAGAGCTTCATGTGTACCCGTGTCGGTACACGGGACTGCTACAGCAGGGAGATGCTCTTTCAACAGTTCAGACTTTACCCTGGAGATACAGACCTGCCCAAGTGATTATAAATGGATTCCTGTGATTGGGTCTTCACTATATCTGGCTATATTTAGCGCTGGTAAGCAAATACTTACAAATATTTAATAATACATTTCCAAAACGTGTTTCCCGCAAATATGTTATTTGCAGTGACTTGGTAATGACATATATACGTTCTTGTAAAAATATTTTTTCAATTGTGGCTGAACATTTTGTGTGTCTAAATTTTGGTGTGCAATCCCATTTAACCGTAAATCATATATCATGACACGTCACTTGCAACATTTGTATGTAACGTTATGCATCAGCACAGGGTCAAGGTAACATTGTTAAATTGTTTCAATACAGTTGTATTGAGTGTAATTAGTGATAGTAAATAGTCAATAGTGATTTTACTGTAATGTCTACAGTCGGTATTTCGTTTACAGTTTGGTGCGTTGGGGTAGCCTAATGCTTAAAGCGCCCGCTCGTCAAGCTGAAGAGACGTGTTTGATTCCCCAACATGGGTACAATGTGGGACGTCCATTACTGGTGTATCTGGGGGCGGTGGGGTAGCCTAGTGGTTAAAGCGTTGGCTCGTCACGCCGAAGACCCGGGTTCGAATCCCCACATGGGTACATTGTGTGAGGCCCATTTCTGGTGTGCCCCGCCGTGATATTGCTGGAATATTGCTAACAGCGGCGTAAAACCAAACTCAGTCAGTACTGGCGTATCTCCCCGTGATATCGCTGTAATATTGCTACAAACCATACTCACTCAATCACTCTCTCACTCGTTTATATTGCAGGAGTTGGCGTGATCTTTATTGTGATATCTGAAATATTCCCCCTCTGGGCACGCGGCATATGCAGTTCAGTTGCTACTTCAGTTATCTGGATATCTCAGATCGTGGTCACCATGACGTTCCTTTCAGTTGCTGACGACATCACAACCCATGGTAATAACAATGACAAAACCGTTTCCACACCCATAAGAAATCCGGGTTTGCATTGGTCTTCAGCAAACCATGTTTGTCGTAAGAGCCGACTAACGGGATCGGGTGGCCAGACTCGCTGACTTGGTCCACGCATGTCATCGTATCCCAATTGTGGAGATCGATCCTCACGCTGTTGATCACTGGATCGTCTGGTCTTTACAGACCGGCTATTTATAGCTGGAATATTGCTGAGTGCAGTGTTAAACAAATAACAAACAGTATTCAAAAGACATTATTAATTTTGCGTTGACTGAAATGGCGATGAAACAGGTAGGCACGTTTCGCCTGGAGTTTCTTTCAGTTGAAAATGTCTCCTCAGATATGGATAATTTTTATGGGCAGATACTTTCACAAATCTCCCGTTTTTCTACCCCATCATGAGAAAAGGCAATGGCAGTCATGGCGTGCAAACAGTGATTTGTACACACAGTTAGGTACCTTGACTCCTTGTTAATTACTTTACTGAGACCCAATCAAACAAAAGATGCGCCGACGGAAGTTTGCTTTATAAATGACGAATTGTCCAGATTCATGTGAACAAGAAAATGTTTCAAGGATGCATCTGGACCAATAGACCCAATGTAGTCTTTCAGACAAAATCTTTCAACTCACCGCGATGATTTTAGTAATTTCTGAAGGAACATGTGTTGCAAACATATCCTAACGTAATTGATAACAGCTCTGCACCTTATATTTCAAAATGTGTCCTTGTTCATTCACAGCTATCCGCGTCCCATGACCTCATGTAGCATTGATTCTTTTATCTAGGGTTGATACCGGTGATCTGTTTTGAATATTGATTAGACCCGTGAAAACAATTGATCTTCATCAACCATGCTTGTCGTAAGAGGCGACTGACGGTATCGGGTGGTCAGGCTCGCTGACTTGGTTGACACATGTCATCGTATCCCAGTTGCATAGCTCGATGCTCATGGTGTTTATCACTGGATTGTCTGGTTCAGACTCGATTATTTACAGACCGCCGCCATATAGCTGGAATATTGCAGCGTTAAACAAACAGGTGATTGTTGATTACTGTGGGATTGTCAAGATTTCAGGTAACATTTCTGCTTGTAGGTATCTTCTGGTTGTATGCGGGATGCTCTGTGCTTGCTGCTATCTTCATCTTAATATTCATGCCGGAGACGAGAGGGGTACGACTGGAGGAGATTGATCAGCTGTTCATGACACTTGATGAGAAGACTGCGCTGGACAAACAGGAAGTTGATAAATTATCAGGTCATTAAGCACATTACTGAACGCCAGGCCCTGGATACCTACATAGTTATCAGGCCATTGACATTACACATCTACAATCAATCTAACGTCTACAAAGGTAGTGCTTTCTAGTTGAGGACATATATATTTCCTGCTTTATACGCCGAGTGGAATCATGTATACTATCATGTATACTGTCCTAAAAAAGAAACGCATAGGCGTTTTAAAATCTATTGATTACCTATTGTGTTCAAACAATCGTCAAAACATGTAACATAAATGTTGATACAACTGCACAAGTGAAAAATCGACTTTACCTGAAAATGTTGATTTTGATGAGATTTCTTACAAGAAGTAAAAAGGCATTTCCAAAACGCAACAAAAATCACCTTCCTGTTGAAATATGGCAGCAAAGAGCATGCACTGTCTGGCTATAAAAATCAAGATTACTTTCGGAAATCGGCATTCGTTTTGAAGGAGTTTCAAGGTCAAATCACTACGCTACGTCTTGACGCTGCGATATGGAACATCGCCATTGAAAGAATGCACGCTGGAGAATACCAATCTTCTGTTGCCAGACGTCTGAATGTTAGTCTGAGCACGATATCACGGCTTGCAGCTCGTTACAACCAAACAGGTATAACAAATGACCATGTCCGTACAGGCAGACCTCGAGTTACCACTGCAGCCGAAGATCGGTACATCCGGGTACTACATTTGCGTGATCGTACTGCCACGGGTGAGAACACAGCAGCCAGGATGCCTTTACTTCGGAGGATATCCGGTCAAACTGTACGGAACATGTTGAGAGAGATTGGACTGAGAGCCAGGTGACCCGATGTCGGGACCATGCTACGTGGTCACCATCGCGCTCAACGCCTCCGTTATCTAAAATTATCCACTTGGTTATATAGACATTTCGTTCTTCTAAACTGATGTAAAAAGTATGTACTAAAGTCTACACATGTACTTGTGTACGAGTTATACATGTGTGAAAATACAACATTTTCGCAACAGATTTCTGGGTTATGCGTTTCTTTTTTTGAATAGTACATATTGGTCAGGTAATCTTGGCTTGTTATAATCTTGCAAATGTTAATTGTACCATTTGGGAGATTTGTCATTCTCAGTTATGCAAACAACAGTTGAAAATATGTGAAGTTCAACATCAACAAGCTCGTACTTTAACCAATGTACTAGGTAGAGGAGGCACAAGTTGAAAATTTCAAGGCAGGGAAGGAAACTTCCATACGCTTTGTGACATAGTTACTACCTTCACCGCCCCCCTTACCACCACTCTGAAAATGTTGAATTCCTTGTAATACTAAACTATTATCGTCACGAAGAATAACGAATGTGTACTCTGCAAGAAGAAACGCAAGAACGGTTTTCTGATGTATATTTGTGAATTTTATATATAAGCAACAGGCCATAATAAATTGTTCAAATGTGGCACAAGTCACTGACCGATGTTCCTCATGGTACACATGTTCACCCACTCTTCCTGCAGTGCCTGTGCCAACTTTTGTAAGGTTCTGTGGCTGACGTGAATGTAGACGTTGACCCAGAACATGCCAGAAATGCTCGTTTGTTTTTAGATCTGACCCCTATATCTCGAAACAAACTCAAGTCGGAGTTTTGACTTAAGTTAGAGTTTTTACTCAAATTTGAGAAAATGCTTTCCCCAGAATGAACGGAAATCGGAAATCGATATTAAACTCAAACATAATAGAAAATTTGAGTTTGGTGGATGGATTACTTAGATTGTTTGGGGTTGTTTTATTTTTAAAATGCAAATGAGTATAAAATTCAGCTGTTTCAAATTGTCAAACTCAGTTTGAAAATGACGCTGCGACACGGAACATCGCCATTGAAAGAATGCACAAATTGTTTCGAGAAATCGGAGCCTGATTACCTTTAGGGTCCATTCGTGACCAACTCGCGTTATTCCGTGACAAGCCGAAAAGCCTCGTGCCCGTCTGGAAGGATTTCATATTGGCGTATGAACATCAGAACTACTTCAAACAAGAACGATAACTCTATCCCTGTTTGATTCCATTGGTACCTAATATCACCGAAACACACATATATTGTATTGCTGTTTTGTTTTGTTGTTTTTTATATATATATTTCTTTTTAAGAATTATATACCTCTTTGATACAACTAAAAGAAAATTTTGTTAAACACATATTTAAATGTAATTATTACCAACGGTTCACCAAATATTTCCAAATGTATATTTCTGAATAGGGTTTAAGGATAAATAATAAGATACTAGTATGTCTTTAGGGATGTGCACATAAAACGGTATTTGTTCAGCTAAATGCATGAAATGGAAAAGTTCTATAATGTATTTCCTAAAAAATGTTGGAAAGCCTACGTAAATTCTCCAAAACAAGCCCACAAGATCGTCAGAAAAACACTTAATAATTGGACCCCATGAGAGCCGTTATATAAACAAATTCACGTGAATATATGAATCTCTCACCGCCAAAGGCATACTTCTTATCAAAAACCTCATATTAGGCAGCACAATTCTGTTAGCTATGTTTTTGTCCTGTCAATGTGACGATATCATTTTTTCATATTGTTTTAAACAATCACATAATGCCATAAACGATTTAAGTACTCTGGATTATTTACATCAAAGTACCGCGCGTTCTGATTGGTTTGTCGTATCAGTTTGTGTGTTCTACCTGTTTATACATAAAGCTACCGTAAAATCGTTTCTCCACAGTTGTGCTTACCTGGTTGTCAAAATTTCAGCATTAACATTTTTCCGACCTTACCATGTACAAGGTGCTGAAACAGACTTAACATGTTTATGGAAAGCTGACATCTTTAACCTTATTGGAAAGAAGACTCTATAAATTATGTCTTTAATAAATGTTACGGCTAAGAGAGAATTAATAACAATTGGTAGACCAAAGGGCACATTCTACTTACTATTCATGTTACTTTTCGTGTTAAACAAGGTGTTGGACAAGGAAGGATCATATCAGCTTGCTTTTTTCTTTGTTTTCATAAATGCTCTAATTGGTGAATTGTATCGAAAAAGAAGGCAATGGTCTTTGTGTTCATGGAATTCATATTACTATTCATATAACTTATGCATTGCTAGCTGACGACATATCATTTGTACATACGTCCCTTCACTTACAATGCAGCAAAAAGTAAATCACTTGTATTTGTAAAACCAGTCAGCCTCACCTTCAGATTACATATAAATACGCAACTGGACAATTATGACCATGTAAAATGTAGTGGAAACCTTATGAGCGATAAATTGTCATATCAAGATAGAATCTCAACATGTTGTACGAAGGCGAGATAACCAGACAACTCGCTACGAGGTCTTGGTCCGGTCTTCATCCTGATGTATGCATTAAAATGGAAGGGAATGATATTATTAAGTTTTTATGGTTATGAATTGTTACCAGCCCCACGAGGCAAATATCCTGAGATCGAATCTGCTCAACGTTATTTTTGGAGGGAGAGAGTAACCATACATGTTCGACTTTCATTTTAGAAAGTTGGACATAAAAAAGATAAGATTACTTTTATGTGTTTTTTCATTTGTAGTATGTGTATGTTATTTATGTTTCCTTAATCGTGTCATATTTGTACATTTTAGAAAATAGCTAACATTGCGTACATTGGCCAACAGTTGGTTGCTGGCGATCCATAGACTCTTTATAAACACGTATTGTAACTGTGAATTGGTAATTCAATATTAAACGAATATTCTGTACAACCTCATGTTTCCTTTTTCACACTTTAGACAACCTCTTCAGCCTTGCATCAAGATTAGTTCCAGAGACAATATGTCAGTACTATTAACGACAGTACTATTAATGACTGTATAGCAAACATTGTACAAAGTTTACGTCTGAATGAAATGTGTCTTTAATTGTTAAACTGGAAGTTGATGTGTCTTTTGAACTAGAAACGTTACATAAGGATGTCATGCTGTCAGGTTTTCTTGGAGAAGGTGTAATGGACTGATGTGATGTTATTGACTTCAAATGGGAATATAATGCTATCGTTTGCTCTTGGGTCTGGTATTGACATTATATGGGAATATATTATAGTCATTTGCTCCTTTGTCTGCTGTTGACATTATATGGGAATATAATATAAGCATTTGCTCCTTTGTCTGCTGTTGACATTATATGGGAATATAATATAAGCATTTGCTCCTCTGTCTGGAAAATAACACCCTCTCTAATGTACATTTGAGACTCTTTCCATACAAAGATGTACTATGCTAACGATGACAAATGCTATGTTACCTACACCTTCTTTACTTCGTATACATAATGCATTTAGAGAGTTTGTGTCATTTGTATGATCTTCGAAATCGTTTCTGAAGGAAATGAAAAATATCATTCATTCACATGATTTATGAAACTAACCCAACACTTCTTGTTCACAACTACAATTTTCAATCGTCAAGGTAAAGTTTTCATAAATTTTGTCTAACTTTGTATGAATTAATAATTCATGAGTTTACATATAAAGTAAACAGCTCAGTCTTTTGTAGAATACATATTTATAGGGTGATAGTATGTATCCCACAGTGGAGCGCTTTACAATTCAGAGAGTTTGAGCAAACACATTTTCGTTTAGATATACTGCTGTGTTCTCCCGAACCTTTACAGCAGTGGGACTGTTGTACCCACAGATTTACGGACTGATAAAAATGTGGAACAAACAAGATAGGGGTCGTCTCAAAATGGAATGTAGAGCAACTTAAGTGTTTGACTAGGCATGCTGTGTATAAACGTTATGAGGTGAATATCTAACATAAGACATAACGATGTTTCCCGGTCTGTTTTCGTCATTGCTGTTTATGAGTTAGATTCACTAATCGTGGTTATGTTTCTGGAGACAGGTATTCCATTATATTAATGCCATTAGATTACCTCAGCAACATTTCATAGTGATTCTAAACACATGCTCTGTCATCGTATCGCATGGTGACAATCACTGGATTGTCTGGCACAGACTCAATTTGTTTACAAACAACATCGTACAGCTGTAATACTGTTGAAACAAATATATACTCATGATAAAGTCATAATTGTACAATTTTGTCGCTTCTATTATAAAGGAAGCCTGGCAGAGACGGATTCAGGATGTTGCAATAAGTGCCTCTCATTTATCATTTACCTCTGCCACCGCGGTGAGTTTGTGGGCTAGCGATGTGTTGTGTTTTTGTAAAATGTTGTGCTTTTATTTGCCTTTAACTACAAAATGTTGAAGCAAGAGAATTAACCAGGCTCGACTATCGAACGAAACATGGGCGTTTAATGGCTCATTGGTGGTTAAACGATCGAATGTATGAATTAATA